TTGTTGTTTTCCTCAACCCATACATGGTGTTAGAGATGGAGAAAAACTTAATATGATTTTCATGTAAATTAATCAAGGAATAATAAAATAAGATAAATAAGGGAGAAGTTTTAGGGAATTTTTATTTATATGCTCAAGTGTTCATTCACATTAGTTTATGTTTTTTTCAGTTTACATTCATTCACAACAGCTTTCATATATATATAAAGGGTGGGAATGGTAGTTGAAAAAGAATGTCGGTTGTGTCAAAAAATAGCATTTTTCACGAAATACACCATTGGAGCAGAATTGTTAAAATGTAACATTTTGACACTGTAGCACTATCAAAATATAGATTTGGCATCTGAATTTGGCATTTCAGCATTGGAGATGCTCTTAGAGACCATATTTTTGGTCTCTTACTTCTCTCTTTCCCGTGCGTCTCTCTCTCTCCCTCTTGCTCCTTTGTTTTTCTTTTTCATTTTGGTTTCCAATCTTAGAAACAAGATAACTCACTCAATGCTTGGAGAAATTGAGAGCCGTTTGAGGTAAAACGAAGAGCACGACGAGTTCTACACATTCATACAAGCAATCTCATATTTGGTGCCCTCCTTGATTTTCGAATTCCTTGATCCATTTCAAGGGTTTTGTGTCAATTTGAGGTAGGGGCTTCCTAATTCACATTATTCATGCACCTTTGTGAATTAATTTACTTGAATTATGTTATAGCATGCTTATTTGTGTTAATTGTAGCCTAAAAATGTCTTGAATGTTTATATGTGAATATGTGAAGACTGGTTTTGATTGCACTATTTAAAAAGCATGCTTATATTGTGAGTTATGCCTATAGTATTGTTCACATGCTATGAATGGTGTATGAAAGCATGCCCTATTGTATTTTATAATAATCCAATTATGGTTTAAATATTAGAAGCATGAGAACATGCTTACTTGTGCTGTGTTAAATTCCTCATTTCCATAGTATTGAGATCATGAGACATGCATGTACCCCATTGGGTTCCATGAAGGGAAGAAATCGTTTTGAAATGAAAATGGGGAGTTTTGGGAAAGAAAGTTTGATAAAAGTGTTTTGGAAAACCCGATCGCCGCGAGAGTACCAAAGGGCCGGAGGTTAATATAGCTTAGAGGGAACTAGGGAGTCGCCCTAGCGTGGTAGAGCTAGCTGGCCCCATAATGATGCCGCGGGGTTACCAAGAGTCGGGAAGCCAATCCTCCTCTCGTGTTGCTGCGGGGTCACCAAAGGGCGGGCTGTATTAACAGTTTGAAGGCGATGATTCTGATTGTGAAAATGGGGAGCGGCATCGGCATGCATTGCATTTCCATTGCATCTTATTATTTGTGTTGAGAATAATAACCATGTTGTATTTTTTTTTCTTTTCCTATGTTGAATGATCTCAACTCCTATTGGCCTACTCTTTGTTTTGGATTCACGGGGTCTCATGAGGTGCGTCTTAGGAGCCACCAACTGAACAATTTGCGGATGATAATCCACCACAAAGCTAAGGGAACTTAAAGGCATTTTTGAATGTATTTTGTGGGACTTGAATTATTCTTGTAAAGTGCATGACACAAAATGCATTATTTTTGCAATATGTGAAATATTTGGATTTATCATGTATATGGCCATCTGGGTAATGTAATTAAATTCGTATCATGTTAATTCCGTATATCATATAACGTGTTGCAAATTACGTTATCAACGTGATGGTTGTTATTATAGTTTGATGTTGAAGTATATTTTAATTTATGTACGTAAGTGTAATGGCGTGGGTGGTTGAGCATTAAGTGTTTCGTTTTTCTTTGGACAGTGGCCACCGAGTCTGGATAATCCAAACCAGTCTACGTGTGGCATCCCATACGTCGACCGGTATCCTGAGAGTAAGCATTTTGAACGTGAATGACCCAAACCAGTCGACGTATGGCTCCCCGACCGGTATCTTACAGTGTGGTAATCTTGTACACGTTCCAAACCAGCCATACGTGCCATACGTCGACCGGTAACTCGACAGTTGGTTTTCTCACTGTTCATAGCCCAAACCAGTTGACGTATAGTGTATATACGTCGACCGGTTTTCTCTTTTGTATGTAATTACTATTTTAAATTCTCAAATTACACTTTGGCATCTATTTGAAGTTGCACGTAATTATTTTATGACCCAATAAAATGGAATAATTGTATTTTAACCACCGACGATTTTGCCCCGAACCTTTGTTTATGAGATGCAAGCAATGACTGTCATACCCCTTTGGGTCTCAATTTATTGAATTATGGTAAATTACCATCTTGTCCTTTTGGACCACGATACTTCAATTTAACATGAAATGACCGTGTTACCCTTGGATGTCTTTGGGGCGGGTGAGGACCCGTTTAATGATCCGGATCCATGAGGAGCTGGGTCATTACAGATCACATGTGTTGATGTGCTGATATATCTCACAACTTAATAGCTTACATTGAATTGTGCCACAATACATACAACATCGTACCTCCCTTGCTAAACTTCTCTGTCCAAGCAACCAGAGATCCAATAATTTCCCAGTAATAACTGAGTTAGAACCTAAAATACAAGTTCCTTCACGGTAGACTAAATAGGTATGGCTAACGAATCTTGAAGACTTTTGAACATGCGATTTGCATAACTTGGATGTTGGAATGTAGCTTTGTTTTAGTGTTTAAAAAGACTACAGAATTATTTGAAAAAATGACAAGATAGAAATTATTAAAAACTTTGACCATTTATTGTCATGAGATGTAGTGTGCCAATGAGGACTTACATCAAAATTGAACTCCTCAATTTCGATCGCCAGTACGTAAACGGCATACATGAATCCTTGTTGATTCCATGGCAAGAAAATACATTATTACATGCGGATCTGATATTTGATAGGGCTGACTGGCGAAAGAAATTTGTTTAGTGGATTCCACATAGTTCAGGTTTCTGGCTTTTTTGAGCCACTTTGGCACTATCTTTAGGAAACAGAAAGGGGCAGTGTGAATGCATACAACTCAATAAAGCCATATTAACTTTTTGAAATGGACCATATGAATATTTCTCACCATTATGTTCTATTTAGGGGCCATAGACAACCACATTATACTGTCATGTCTTTAATATAATTACAAATCTGGTGTTCCTTTTCCCCTTGGATCAACCACAACGTGGACCATGTCACTCTTCCTTTGACATCTCCCTAAATGTTTACCATGTCACTCTTTTCTCAACGCTACATATTGGTCTCGATTTATACATGGTCAAACTATCTTAGTTAGCTTTCTCTTATTTTATCTTCGATTAATGCTTATTTCACAAATGTGTTCGTTCCTAGATTTGTCCAGTTTTTTCTTGTTACAGATCCATCAACTCTGCATTTTGGTTGCACACATTATGAAAAATGGTATTTGTATTATAAAACAAGCATTTTATAACTGTTAAGCAAATGGCACTCTTTTTTTGTCTCTATTGACTTTTAACCGATAGATCCTCCATTTGTAATTCTGGAAAAGCTAAAGTTGCATTCTTTTTACTCCATTTCAGTCCTACCTATCTTAAACCATGTTAATTCCATTGTAATTCTCTTCACTCCAAGTCCATCGTAATTCTTCCAAAAGGTTGGAGGAAAAGAAGAAGGAAGCTTCTTTTAGCTTTTGTTACATCTTTGTCCTTCTAAAGTGCCTTCTTTTTAATAATGGAATGGAATATGATCATTTGACGTCCCTTCCTTCCTTGTTTCCTTCCCTTCCTTCTTTGTTTCCTTCCCACTCAACCAAACAACACGCGAAAAATAACATTGGCGTGATGAATAGGGAAGAATCTGGAAACCAAATGACTAAAGATAGAGTTGAGGGAGGGATATGGGAAGGAAGGAAAATGTGGAATTTGTATGTGAAATCCAACCCAAGGGCTCCTGCTGGATTTTATGACAATCTGAATACAGATTTTCAGTTCGTATGTATGTAGCAATATGTGTCTTGTGTGTGTGTGTGTGTGTCTAGATATATATATATATATATATATATATATATAAAGTTATCTAAATTCAGTTAAGTGTGCACTTAATTTTTTACTTATATAAACACTTGTATACATATATCCATTGTGTGGCCAGTATGCTTTTCTTGTATTATCATTAATCATTTTTAAACTTCAACTGAAGACTGGAAACTAAGAAGAAAACAAAATTTACATTACTTTTTTTCTTCTTTTTTTTTTTCTTTTTAATGTTAAAATCATGTGATGTTTTAACCAAAGAAAATTTCGCTACACACATAAAAATTCAATCTTAGCAACATTTTGTAAACCTTCTGCCTAAATGTATATTCTGATGCAATATATAATAGAGAGTAACATAATCGCTTCTTGTAAAGTATTTCTATGTTTTTACTTACCACACACACACACACAAAAAAAAAAAAAAAAAAAAAAAAAAAAAAAAACACTTACCTAATTTTTTTTTAAATAAAAAAAAAAAATGCATGTTGTATATGCAAGCACGACTTGTAAATTGTAATTGAAAAGCTAAAATTTATTTTGCAGTGAAGTTATTAAGAATTCATCCTCAACACCAAAGAGGGGGGAAGCAGAGCGAGAGAGAAAATATGTAAGGATGAATCTAACTCATGTCAAAATGATGTATATTGAAACTTGCATACACAATTTTATTTTTTTATTTTTTATTTTCATATTATTTTTAAGAAAAGTTAAATCCCTCCAGTAGGGAGGAACTGTGATCCAGACTTATTGGAATTCTTTTCTTTTATTTAATTTTTTTTTTGCGCCAGACTTATTGGAATTCTACTAGCTTTATTTCAGCACAACTGATTTTATTTCAGTACAACTGTGTGTAACTGAGTATGAAGCTGATTGAAGACATGCCAACTCCAGATGAAGAACCGAATGAATCATTTGGGTATATAGTGGATTCATACCCAAGAAAGATAGAGGTTTTATCTCATGGCCACGTACACAAAACATATTGTTTCCTGCAAAACCGGAAGTTGCTTGCTGAAAAGAAAAAAATATATAAATATATATTGAATAGAAAGTTGATTCCAACAAATTGTTAGGAACAAACATGTATAATTATTTTGGCTCAATTAACATTCTGATTGTATCCTTGCCTGATAAATTGAAAGCATTCATACAATACTGCAAGTCCTCGTCGCAGGGTATTGTAATTTGTTCCTCACCATCATTATATGTGATATTATAAGTTCCAACATCTAACTTGAACCTCTTGGAGACTTTCTCTTCCAACTGCGTCATTCCTGATGTAAGAGGTAGTTCAAATTTTACCGTAGAACCTTTATATGTTGCCTTTATAGTCATCTTCCTTGCTTCTGGTGGTGGTGTTACAACTGGAGTCGTGCGAGCAGGCAAATCAGAACTTGGAGGGTCTTGTCTAGAGGGAGGGTCATTAACCTTCTTTCTCTTGACTGGTGGTCTCACAAGTGGAGTCATGTGAGCATCAGAACAAGGAGGGTCTTGTCTAAAAGTAGAGCCTTTAAACTTTTGTTTTCCCCTAACATATGGCCACTTGAGTCCAATTTCTCCCAATCTACGCTTAAATGTGGATTCGCTCACTGCAAAAATAAGTATTCAATAACAAAATCTAAAAATTTGAAAATAATAAGAGCAAGATTACAAGCAACAATTTCAATTATTGTGTAAGCTTACTTTTAAACTTCTGTGCAACAACTTTACGTGGCATTCCGAAATATTTTTTGAGTTCCTCGTGACTGAATGTTGGATGTTCACCATTTGAAGAAGAACCAGGAGTGTTATTTTGCTCTGCATCAACATTCCTTCCACTGTTGATATCAACTTCAACTTCATCTGTTGGTTGCTGAATTAATGAATGCGGCTGCAACGTCTCTTGTCCATCATGTAAGACTCCAATCCCAAGTGGAGATCTCGTACTCTGGCTTTGAAAAGTAGCAAGTTCCTGATTCATGCGAGCCTCATCTGAACAAGAAACAGGAATGCTATTTTGCGCCGCATCAACAAGATTCCATCTGTTGTCGATATCATCAACTTCAAATATCTGTTGATTTGATGAATGTGGTTGCATCATCTCTTGTCCATTTTGTAAGACTCCAGGCCTATTAGATGGAGATGAAGTACTTTGGCATTGAAAAGAAGTAGGCTCCTGATTCATGCGAGGTTTAATAACTTCAATGGATAATTCCTTCCCGAGTTCTTCTCCAGAAGCAAGCTTAAAGCTTGGGAAATTTTGCTTCATTGTTTCTAATATTGGGCACAAGAAGGCACCTTGGTCTTCACCATATGTGTTTTTAGGATTCAGAAAAAACTCTATTATGATGTAATAATAATTGTTGGAAAAAGTAGTTTGCAAGCAAATCGCAAAACAACCTGTTAAGCCTAAAGAGCGTGCAATGGGCATGGAGGGGTATTCAGTTATGCTGAATTGAGTTATATCTCTGCAAAAACATAGTTTATGTGACTGATATGCACTCCCAACAATTCTATGCCCCCTTTGAAAAACATTCCGGTCATAGAAGAAACCCTCCAGATCTTCATCTATAAAATAAGATGCTCCCAAATGACAGTGAAAGGCTGGTCCCATACAGCTTACATCAAACGTATCATAGCTATTATCCAAATTGCCATCAAAGGCCAAGCCATTGAAATGCCCGCACGGAATCCATGTCTTAGCCAGAGGTAAGTCGTGAGTTTCGCACACCACTCTCAACCCTTTGTAGATTTCATCCGGATAATCAACCTGGTATAGACATTTGTGGATGAGAGAAGAGAGTAGTGAAAACATATAAAAGTATCAAATCTCACATTTGGATATTACAGCTCTAACTTACCTTACTAATAAAATCATATCCACAACACAGAGAACTTTTCAGACCCGCAAGCTGCAAGAGAAAGAAAAATTTAATAATTTTGGTAAGGTTTAAATTAATGAAAAGGTAAAATCATATCTATCATCTCCAAATATGATGGCATTCATATCCGATCACCAAACCTGGATAAACGATTTACACGTCCAGTATAAAACGGAATTGGTAGTTGTAGCAAACTCAAGAACTCCAACGCATTCCTGGAAAGAGGTTTGAAACAACGGAAAACAAAAAGAAGCCTCAATATCGCAAGCTAGAGTAATATCACGCTGTGGGTACTCTTTGGTAGAGTAATGTCGCACATCCGGAAGATGCTCGGGCCATTTTTGGCGGAACACACGGCCAGGGATTCCAAGGCCTTCTACTTCTTCCCCATCCACATTAAATTTGTATTGCAAACACTGCTTCCTATACTTAAGAAGTCGTTCATCAAGATCATAAGAAAGACCAAAAGGTTGGTCTGAAGTAACAAGCTGGACACACCCTGTTTCTGTTCTGATAGGTGCCCAAAACTGTATTAGAACGTCTTCGTCCCCATAAAAAATGCCATTGTAGTCTAGAAGGGCCGATTTGATGATGTCTGTAATGATGGGTTGATTTGTGGTGGGGGTGTGAGTTGCCGAATCCGTAATACTACCAACACCTACACCGTTCAATCCAACAACTTTATTATTATTATACACATAATATACACATGGAGGGTGGGTTCTCCACTAATTAAGATAAAAGATTGAATTTCTTAAGCTAAGCTGCTATTGAATTAAATTTCCATCCCAACTTTATACATATTTAAATTTTCTGTTAATAAAAGAAAAAAGGTGAGAAATTAAGGGAGACAAAAAGACAGAGAGAGAGAGAGAGAGAAAAAAAAGCAGCTTACTGCAAGGAGAGAGAGTCGGCTCACTCCAAAATGCCCACAGCATTTTTTTCAACGACGGGCATTGGTAAAACACTTCAATCGGCAAATCTTTCATGAAATTCATGATCTTGCGTTCATCTTCTTCATCATCATTATCAAGATCGGATGTTTCATCTTCTTCTTCATCGTCATAAGGATCGGATGTTTCATCTTCTTCTTCATCATCATCACAATTAGGATTGACACGAGGCTCTGGCATATCTTCCACTGTCGTGGATGAACTACCTGATAAAAGCACATCAATATATATAATTACTACTACATTATTCTCCACTTAGACGAAGGAAGGGGTTGACAAAAGGGTTCGAAACGCATAAAGAAATGTCAATAAAGGTTGGAACCGCGTTTTTCATTTGCCCCACCATGGAAAGAGACCAGTGAAAATTACCTCCGCCTACATTTTTTCATTCATCATTAAAAGTTAAACATTTTTTATACACACGTGGAAAGCTGCATCACCAAACCATTCCTAAACAAAAAGAAAGTTCCTTCATCAAATTTGAAACCTGTTTATTGAATTGTTGAGGTGAAAGCCTCTACCTACTACCTACTAGTGGTGAACTACGTGATTTTAAATTTATACAATAAAAAAAGAGATTATTACATATAAATGGAATTAGGGTTCTATATTTACTAAGAGGCTGAGTCAAAATCCCATATTTCTTAAAAATGAGGTTGACTAAATTGATGACATGACACATGAATTATTACTGTTTAAAACTTGTGGTGCCTAAAATGCCCTTCTTACTATTCCATCACATTTACCTTATTGCCCCCGTTTAATTTAGTCGCCCAACTCTAAAGCATTGTTGCCCTAAAATACACACAGTCGTGCATCACAAATCCAGCGAAGCAAGACCAGGCAAACACAGCATCACCGAACATGGAATCCTAACCCTCCCTCATCTCATTCGTGAAGAGCCCTCAAGAGCCCTCTCTCTCTCTCTCCCCCTCCCCCCCCCTCTCTGTAATAGGATTGAAGCGTAGCCGTTGAACCCTAACCCTCATTCAAGCCCTCTCTCTTTCCCCCTCTGTAATAGCGAAGCACTTCTCCACATCTAACCGTCATTGGTGCGCCCTCTCTGTAGCCCAGCAAAGCACTTCTCCACTTCTGCCATTCATTTATTATTGTTCTAGTAATATGGTAAGTACTCTCTCTCTCTCAACACACACGTTTATTTTTTAGATGATTATGGTCCTGATTTAGTGTTATAAATTTTTTTTTTTTCCCAATTGGATGTCTGATTTTCATCTAGGTTATGTTTATATATATTCTCCTCTTATAATTTCTATTATGCAATCATATATATATAATTTCTATTCTGCAATCAAGATTGTTGTTGCTTTGTTTGTTGTATATGTTTGAAATGTGCGTAACAAAATGTTGCTCTCTTTTGCATGACAAAATTAATTTTTAAAACTCAGTTTTATCCCACCAACAAAGGCAAAATTTTGCTAAAGTAGATACTTAATTAATCAAATGTTTTTATTTTTTATTTTTTTCTTCTTCTTTTGTAATTAGGTTTGCTTGTTTTTGAAGAGTTCATGCTTTCTTTATACGTTGACTGAACTGAAATCCCAAATGTTATCCTACAATCTTTCCACTAGCATGGATTTTCATAGTTAAAATACTCAGAATTTGCTGAAGAAAACATAATTAAACAGGATAAAAAACAAATTTTCATGCATGTCCTTTGTTACATACATCAGATTATAGTTCAATGTTAAATATATAAGCATAATATACATAAGATAACAAGCAACCCAACTCATATGTGTGCCAAAAGCCCCAAATACAATCATTTTCTAAATTCAGTTACACAGAAAACCACAAAGCTTTACTTTTCCAAGTATCCCAAATTAAGATACAAATAAGATCAGAATCCTTATTCATATTTATAATTCTATATCGAAAATCACTAACTTGCATTTGAATTGGAATATCCATGTGCATGAAAAAATCATATGTGACCCTAGTTGGAGGAATAAAAATTCCTAAAAGATTGTAAAAGTCAGCATCCTTCCTTCAATAATATACAAGTGATGGGCCCTAACTTTCCAGTTCTTGAGGTAAAGAGTTAAATGGCCCAAAATTATTTTCCCCCCCTCTATTTTTAGTGCATTACTCCGTGTATGTCTAGCTTACATCAGCTGCTAAGAGAGGAAGACGGAAGATAGACAAACTTTGAGTCTATTCTTAGATTAAAACTCGTATCCAATTGCACCAAGTAATGATCCTGATGGATTTTTGGAACACGCCTAAACTTCAATATCATTCTTTTTAATTTTTTTTTATCTCATTTTCTCTGTCCTACATTAGTTATCAGTTTGCATTTCTTTGATTATATGAAAAGGGTGAAGGAGTTTCAAACAAATTGATTTCCTATTAGATTGGCAGAAAAGAAAGTTCAAGCATCTCACAACTAAAAATACTAAGGACAGCAACACTGTTTATTTTGCTAAACCTTTTTTTTTTGGTTCTTTAAACCAACCAAACACAGCTCTAAACCAATCAGAGGTCCTGCCTTTTAAATTTTTAAATAAAAGCCACAGCAAAGTGACCAAAATGTAACGTTATTGATTTTTCCTATTTTCTAATTTCTGGAATTTATTTGACTTCTCTGGATTATTTTAATCCTTACCTCGTTTTGCGTGCCACGCGGGCCCAGAGGGGCGTTTTGGTCAATTGTTGAGCCGAGGATTTTAGAACTGTATCTTTAATCATTTTAAGGCAATTAGATGTGACGGTATTATTTTTAGATTTTTTGGAGGTTGAAATGATTTTCGGACTCGGGAACTTCTCCTGGTTTTGTCATTTTATGAAAGGGGTATAATGGACTTTTCTCACATATATGTATACATCTATATCTATATTAAAAGTAGATATTTTGGGGGTAGGCATGTTATTACAATGGAAGACCATGGACTAGGAGGTAACTTTGCCCAAAATTAGTAATCCACAAGAATTGGACAAGTGGCACATTATTGGCCTTGGAAGCAAAGTGAAAAATTAACCTAATTTCCTCCTTCTCTTCATTCAGCCGAGACCACCTCTCTCTCTCTTTAGTTTTTCCTTTTCTTCTCTCTATATATCTATACATCTATATACACATATTTCTCCATTGTTGCAAGCTTGATTTGAGGTGTTTAGAGTGAGGTTTTGGAGGTGATCAAGAAGGGATGTTGGAGAGCTTGGCATGAGCTTTCATTAGAGACCAAAGGTGCAAGGGCTTGGAGGATTTCGAAAAAGATTGGGGTTTTTCTTTTATTTGAGGTAGAGTTTATCTAATTGTCAATTTCCTTGGAATTGGTAGTTAATTAGATGACTTTCCCTCATTTGACATGCCAATTTGATGTTAATTGAATAATGAAGATTTTAGGATTTTGGTTGATGCATAAGCTTTGTCTAATTAATGTGTTTGATAGAAATTAATTGTTTATCTTGTGTATGAATTTCAATTGACATGCTATGAAGTTGCTATATGGTGGATTATCTCTATTACTCTTTGTATAGTCATTTTGATGTATGTAGAAGCATGTTTAAGTGTTGGATTATCTTGTTATGGTTGTGAAATTGCTTATTGGATAATGAAAGCATGATGAAAATTTGAATGCTTGAAATCAAAATATTTCATATGCATGTCATGAGTGTATTGATGGGTATAAGAGAGGTGAGGGTGTGAATGTGATGTGTGGATGTGTGGATGTGTGGAGAGGTGAATGAAATGTGTGGGTGTGTAGGAGTGTGGAAGTGATGCGTGGACATACGATGGTATAGACGAAATGTTTGATTATGTGAAGGTAGAGTGTGATGTGTGGTTGCATTGGCATCTTGTGCATAGCATTGAATATGATGGTGTGTGAATTATTTAAAAATTGAGGTGTCGTATGTGAATCCCTCGCATGATCCCCGTCTCTTTTTCCTATTCATTGCTTGTAAGGCATGTAATTATTTACCATGCTTGAGGAGATGCCACTTAAGTATTCTCTACTGAGCCTTGTGCTCACTCCTCTACTTATTATCATTTTTCAGGGATTGAAGATGAGCCGGTGAATAATATACATCCATGGATATCAATGTAGATAGGACTTCACTTTTATTTATACCAAAGCTATGTAAATTTTGGCCATAGAGGCCTTACTCTTGTATTTAATTCCTTTGAATTTTGTATAAAATGAGACTTATGTAATTCGGTCTTTAAATGATGTATTAGAACGTGTTATGTATCATACAAAAATTTTGTTATCAATATGTATTATTTTTGCAACATGTTAAATGATTGGATTCATTTTGTATATGGCCCTTGGAAAATGAAATTAAGTTTTACTCACTCAAAATCAGTTTGTGTGTATTTTAAGTAACGTGCGGCAAATTCCGTTAACAACATGATGGTTAGTGTTGCGTTAGGTTTTGAAATGTATATAAATTTGTACGTGAGAGTAGTGGCGTTAGTGGTTGGTTATTGAGTGTAGATGTATATTGGTCTCCCTTGGACAGTAAGCAACTGAATGTATATAACCCAAATCAGTCGACGTGTAGCGTGAACCGGTCGATGTATAGTGTGAACCAATCGACCGGTATCCTGGCAGAGAGTTTGTTACTATACATTTCCCAAACCAGTCGACGTGTACATTCCACACATCGACCGGTATCTTCACAGTGTGTGTTTGAGTAGTTCACGTCCCAAACCAGTCGACGTATGGCTTCCCATACGTCCACCGGTATCTCGGCAGTGGGTATCACTGCTGTTCATATCCCAAACCAGTCGACGTATGATGCATATACGTCGACCCATTTATGTTATTTATGTAATTGCTTATTTAAATTCTTAAATTACCCTTTGGCACCCAAGTGAGGTTCCACGTAATTATTTTATGACCCAAATAAATGCAATAATTATGTTTTGACCACCAAAAGGACTATATTGCCCCGAACCTCTTTTTATCTATTATGTGATGTAAGTAAATGACTGTTTTACCCTTTGAGTCTCAATTTATTGAATTATGGCAAATTACTATCTTGCCCTTTTTGGACTTTGATATTTAAATTTAGCGTGAAATGACCGTATTACCCTCAGACGTTTTTGGGTCGAGTAAGGAACCGTTTAATGATCCGGATCCACGAGGAGCTGGGTCGTTACATAAAATTCAAGAGGGTGTTTTTGGGTAGCTAGTTTCTGTTGCTACAAATGTAAGAAAAAGGAGCAGTAGAAGTAAACTGATAATGATACTTGCAAAGTTTAAAGGCCAGCAGTGGACTGTTGGTAGACCAGTAATTAATAAATAATCTCCTATTGTGTACAGAATCACAACACTTACTCCAAAAACATATATT